TATTATAAAGCCAAGACCATGTTCACCTCTATTGTCTCCGGAATATATGAATTGGTTACCTTCATTCGTTACAATTTCTCCATTATCTTTCCATCTAATTTCACATAGCCCAAGAATGCTGATTCTGTACCTCCTCATATCTTTTTCTACTTGTGCCAGTCTTGAGACTTCTCTTAGAGTTCTAACATTCCATTGTCCTAATATTGTCCTTAAACGTGTGCCAAAGTTCGTTACCGTATTTCCAACATTTATCCGAGGCTGAATCTCAGTTTCTTGAATCGCATATTTTCACTAAGCAGATGATTACTCGGTTCTAGTATATTCTACTTGGTCACATGTAGCCACCTATCGTTTAGTAGAAGAGACGCGCCATGTACATCCCTACCAAGTTTTTCCCGTTAGATAGCGTTGTTGTTGCGGGTCTGTTGGGTTGGGTCCATTTATTTTTGACAGATTCATGACGTAAGGCTGTCAGTCTTGATGTCGGTATTTTAATTATTAGTTGTGTTATATTTTTAATATTTTATTAATTTAGGTTATATTTATTATATTGTATATTAAGGTAAATTTATTATGATTTGTTTTGTTATTAATTGTTATTGATTATTTTTAGGCTATACTTATATTGGATATTATTATGTATCCCCCCGCAGGCTTCGAACCTGCTCCTCCTGATGCGTTTGTTGATTGTGGGTTGAACGCCACAACCACTTGACCACCGGAGGGATATAGACCGTTGTGTAGATGTTTTATTTTTTTTGTAAATGTTCTTGTATTTCGTAACAGAATTCCAAACATTAATTGTAACGCTTTGTGATCTTTCTAAATCTTAGTCATATTTTTTAAATATTTCAACCGCTGAAGTAATGTGGATAAATGCTTCTCTTAGCTTTTTAACAGGAACTTTCTGAACTTGTTCAATAATTTGATTTTCTTCTTCAATAACGTGTTGGTCGTTTTCTTGTTTAAAGTTAATTAAGTCTTCATTTGTCATTGGTTCTTCCGAAAAAAATTCTTGAACATCTATTTCATCGATTTCCGAAAACCCTATCATTTTAGCAAGTTCAATTTTGTAACTCAGAAGAAATATTTTCAGTTTCATTTATAGTTTGATCAAAAAAATGTGGAATAAGTTTTTCCAAACGTTACGCATATTAAGTGAAGTATAATTTGGCCAAGATTTAGATACCGCCATCAAAATGTTATAATTTTTCCAATATTGTTTCAAAATTTCATTTTTATTTCCCCTACAATTCACAATTTTTAAAATCAAATCACGAGAAGTTGTCCTTAAATACAGTGCTTTAAACGCTGCTATAACACCTTGGCCCATCGGCTGAAGGACCGATGTAGTGTTGGGTGGTAAGTACAAAATTTGTACATTTTCATTATACTCATTCAAAAATGGGGGGTTCCCCGGAGCATTGTCTAAAATAACTAAAATAATTTTTTACTTCTGGGATGAAATGGTTTCTGTACCAATCTGTAAATGTGATTGAGATCATCCAGGCTTTTTTGTTGGATTTCCAAACCCTGACATTTTATTTTTATCTAAATTTTTTAATGCCCTAGGATTTTCGGCATTATAAATTAGCAGTGGTTTTAACTTGCAATCCCCGTAAGCATTACCACCCAGGAGTATAGTTATTCTTTCCTTTGAACTTTTTAATCCAGAAAATGTTTTTGTTTGTTCCGATACATGCCCTCTTGATGGCAAACGTTTCCAGTTTAAACCAGTCTCATCCACATTAAATATTTGCTTCAAAGAATAATTATATTCAAAAATAATTTCTTTTAATTCAGCTGGGAATAACTGTGCAGCTTCAATATCAGCACTAGCCGCTTCAACTGTCATTTTTATGTTATGATACTTATTCCTTTATTTACTTCTGTTAACACTTTCAGGAGTTAATTTACATAAATCCTCATACAATGTTTTAGCTTTTTCTTTAATTAACATGGTGGATAATGGCAGATTTTTTTCATTAATATCTTTTATCCAAAGTATTAATGACTTTTCCATCTGTTCCAACAAGTAAGGCCTTTTTCTACAACAATTTAAGTCGCGCAACTTCCATTATTTTCTATTTTGTTTCTGTTTTGCAATATATTAGTGACAGTGCTATATTTAAGTCCCATGGACGACGCGATATGTACAGCTTTTCATTTTGTTTAGATCTCTTAATAAGTTCCATTTTTTGGTTAAACATGACCGCTTTACGCTTGAGTTTCTCCTTTTTTGTTTCAATAATTTTCCGTTTTTTTTCCTTCTTCCTTTTTTATAAAATATCTTATAATTTTTTTAATATATAAAACCAACTAACGCCTTATTTGCAGAAATTAAAAGTATAAATTTTATGTGCATGTATGTATCAACGTATGAAATTTTAACTTTGTTCGTATATGCAAGTACATTTGTGTTCATATATATGACTATACATACAGACTTTAAAAAAAAAAACCTTTTTGAACGGCGATTCGGCTTGCGACGTAGTTATTACCCCCTTAATCAAGGACCCAGTTTATTTAATTTTTGTACCTACTTAAATATTTTCATATATTTTGTAATGTATGTATATTTTTCTTAAAGACTGAAAAGTAAAAATTTCCCATCCAAAAAACTGAAAAGTACAGTTTGATAACAAGTGAAAATACTGTTTTTAAAAACCGGGGGTTTTTCTTTTATTCAGCTTAATAAAGCGCGTTCGTAAATTCAATCTGCAATAAAAAGATGTTAGAAATGTAGCGTAGACCCCTAATACAAATTTTGTCGCAGCCTCATAAAATTTCTTTTTTTTTTTAAATTCAAAATTAAAAAAAAAAAATTAAATTTCAAAATGGCAGATTCAGATATTGAAGGGTTATTAAAGTAAATTTTCTTTAAGCTTTCAAATCTTGTTAAAATTTTCTTACTAGTGAATTTTCAGACGAAAAGTATTGTGATACAATTTCATAAACAATGTCACTTCTGTTATTTTCGAACGACTGATTATTTAGAAGTTTCAGAATTTGTAGACTGCGTAAACAAAAAATAATTTAGCTAAAGTTTTTGCATACTGTTTAACGCTGCGACTTTGAAATTTTAATTCTAATGAAGAACTTTCAGTGCAGCGTGCATAAAAGAAAGCCACCACCCCACAATCTATGTATACCTACCACACTATTAAAACTATTTTCATTCATATACCAAATTATTTCTTGGAATCGCATATATTTTGGATGAACGCTTTATGCACTTTTTGAAATAAAGCAAAATTAATTTAAGGAGGAGTTTATACAATGCTTGATTTTAAGGGTTAATTGCGTGAATTAAGAAAAATTATTATATGTTTTAATGGCATAGAATTTACCGTTACCTTTCTCCGTTTATAAAAATTTGAAAAAGCATGCGATTTTGCTAATATAAGTTGCCAAATATTCAAATTTTACAAATTACGAGAGTCGATAACTAGAGAGGAGGTGAAGGTGAAAAAAAATTTTGTTCTAACGAAAGGAACTATTTATAAATGTCTGAAAGCGGTTAAAATTTCAGACTTTCACAACCTGGATTTTATATAACGGTAAATTTTAACGACTAGCTTGTTTTGTTAAGTTCAAGTATAGTATGACGTGATAGAAGAAGCAACGCACTGCTTTTCTGCGTTTTCAAAATTTGAAAAATGCATATGGTTCTACTACAATAAATAGTTGAAAAATGGCATTTTTAGGGTTTAAGGAGGATAAAATTTATGTTTTACGAAAATTAGTTTCTAGTGAAAATCTTTGTGCATATAAAATTTCAGTTTTCTATCTTCAAGGGTACATCCTTTCTACAGAAGTTTTGTAAACAGACACACGGACAGACGGACGAACGGACAGATTGAAACTAGTAAGCCCTTTTTGGCAAAATTTTTTTGAAAATGTGCTAAAAAGCTTAAAATATAAAAATAAAATGTTTACGTTTTTTTGTATAAAATTTTACGTTTATAGAATTGTTCCTGATGCGTTATAATTAAAACTTTATATTTCAAATCTAAGTTTTTCCTTCAATTTCAAATTCACATTTTTTTCTTATTTTAATATTTTTCAGAGATGGAAAATTTTACTTTACAAAGACTCTCTATGACTGTATATTTTAGCTTCACTTTTTTCTATGAAATATGAGCCTAGCTATCCATATTTTATTGCACATCCTTGTCCCTGAAATTCGGGAAGGGTATATTAACTTTAGAATGGAGTTTGTAACTACTTGAAGGAGTCATCTGCGGTATTATATATTCTAATATATATATATATATTAGAAAATATATATATATTCTTCCTTAGCGTAAAATTCTGCGTTGATTTAGACAAGTCCGTTCTTCCGTCCGTCCGTCCGTCCGCCCGCCCGATCGCACGATAACTCAAAAACATATAATGCAATCGACACCAAACTTTCACAAGTTGTTTCTTCTGTGCCAAGGACAAACCCTATTGTAATTGGACAAATTCGAACAGCGGGTTTGGGTAGTTGCCATACAACTCCAAAAGCAAATTTTTTATATTGAGAAAAATAATAAAGTCAGTTTCATGAAACTTGGCAGTTGTGTGTTCAATTATGGATCAGATATGTTTGTGAAGTTTCAGTGGAATTGCTTGACAGGTTCGGGTACCTGTCATACAAGTCCAAAAGCTTATTTTAAATATTTGGAAAAATAATAAAGTCAGATTCATGAAACTAGACAGTTGTGTGTCCAGTTATAGGTCAGACATAACTGCCCGACTTGTTACATCTGGCATCGTTCTTCGACTTATCGCGTTATAAACTAAGACGACTGCTACGTTAGTATCACTTGGTAAGTGACTCAACTTTTGGACTAATCCCCAATGTTTAAAAGCACATAGCGGGTATAAGTGAAACTTACTTCTTAGTTAAATTTATTATTTTACGGCATATTTTTAAATTTAAATGAGAGCAAAGTCTAAAGAGAAGTGAATAACAGATAAAATAACAAATTTTAGCACAATTCGCTAATACATACCTGATCTCCTGTTGCGTAGAGGTGGGCGAGCAATTCTCCATTTATAAAATCTTTTGTATTATTTATTACCATCATCATTATGCATTTTGGAACCATATCACGAGTAGTTTTTGTTACTATTTTCATATAGGAATCCACCAAATTGCGGATAGTTTCAACTTGACGCTCCAGTTGGGGATCAAGTGAACTTGTCTCAACTTCTCCAATTTCCTGTATTCAAAATAAAAAGAGCTGTATTGAAAACTGTATTAAAAAACAAATACAAAAGAAATCATTGGGATTAAAAATAATCAAAATAATACGGTGTCATAAAAATACAATATTTTTTTGTGTAATGGTTTGCATTAAAAAAAAAGAAAACAATATAAACATGCAGATTCTACTTTATAATATAATGGTGTATGATTACTTGTATATATAAATTTTTCTATATTCTAGCATAAAATAAGTCATACAAAAACCAGATTTTTAGAAATAGGAAGCATTAGTTTGATGATTTCATTATTTTTAGCATTTTTCCAAAAAAAATTTTGAAAAAATATGCTTATTAGTTTCAATGCTTATTATCAAAAATATGCTTATTACAAAACTTCTACATCCTTGAAGATAGAAAGCTAAAATCATATATACATAGATCTTTACTAGAAACTTATTTTTGTAGAACAAAATTTTTAGTCATCACCTTTTCTGCAAAAGTTATAGACCAACAAAGTCCTAAAAGTATAAAAACCAAACACATTTTTCAAATTCTGCAAACACAGAAAAGTAGTGGCTAGCTTTTTTTTATCGCGGCATTAAACTTTATAAAATGAAAATGACCGCTAAAATTAATCGATACCTAAAGTCCGTTTTTTGCAAATTTTTTGGTATCGTTTTTCTGCTGGAACTTAGGTTATATAAGTCTGGAATTGTAGTATCTCTGAGATATTCATAAATAGATATTCATTTCATAGAAATTTTTTCTCCATCTCCACCCCTATCAAGTTATTGTCTATCAAAATTTGCAAAATTTGAATTTTTGGCACTTCATATTTCCAAAAATTGAAGACGTGACGGCAAAAACCGGATAGTTACGCTTTTAGGCGAAATGACTTTTTTCAATTATTTAGTATAAAAATAACAAAAACCCATCGTTTTAAACTAAAACCAGATATAAAATGTGCATTATTCAAACTTTTTTATATGAATTTTTTAATTGTTTGCCTCATACTTTTACTTCAAAAACTAAATAAAATGTGCAATTATCTCGCTTATGCAGTAAAGACATGTTGCAACATGTTTTTGCATTGTCTGTTTTAGATCATATTCTTAACAATTTGTTTGCAATAAAATATCAGTTGCGCGTTGTTTTTCGATGTAATAATATTTAACATTCTTTTTTTGTTGAAGTGTGTTAAATATATGTATATGTATGTTTATATAGATCATGAGTGAGCGTGACGATTTTAGTATTTTGAATATAAGAAGGAAGCGATAAATCTATTTTAACTGGTGCAGAAAGGTAAAATACTTATTTAAAATATTTCAAATATTTCAAATAAGTATTCGTGGTGTTATAGCTTCAATTCTCCATTTCGGTGTAGACGCTGTATGCTTCCAACTAGCAAAACTAGTTAATATTAGTGGAAAGTCATTTTCAACGGAACGATTGTGTGAAGAAACCTTGCCAATCAACTCAAAAAAGTATACAAACGTGATGCAATAAGCTGGAAAATTTGTTCCCCAAGATGATATGGGATTTTATATAAAATGTTCTACGGAGTAGTGAATTTGGCGATTGAAAATGAAATTTATACGTTTTATTAACGTATCGCCTAAAATTTCGACTTTTTGTATCTTCTATTTAAATAGAATTCGAAATATATTCGTAAATTATGAATAAAAGTAATTTTAATAATGTAGTTCAAAAATAGTTTTTCGAAGCAGTATTTTCACTTGTTGAAGGGAAAGTGCTACATTACAAAGCTTTGGTTTGACCTAAACTTATTTTGTTTTTCTTCTTCAAATTTTTTTTTTCTTTTCCATTACATCTTCAACAAGAAATCGAATAACAACATATTGGTATTTGTTATAAATATATCAATTAAGTTCCATAGACGACTCTGGGTGCGAAACTCGTATATTCTTTATTTTCTGTCGAAAAATTTACACTAAATTAATGGTTTGATCATGTATATAGTTTTTAAACATACTCAATTTGTTAAATATTGTGTTTAATCGTTTACATCAAAATGTGGGATAAAATTTGGAGAATTTCATTTAATTTTATGATTAAAGTAAAAAATTACATACAAAGCTCAAAAAAAACCTTGTAAAAATAATAAGTCTTAAACACATAAATCTTAAAACTTAAAAATATTGCGTGAAAGTTATCACGAATGAATTATAAAAAGCATAAATTTAAATAAGATAGAAATTAATGTGTAGAAAGAAAATTAAAAATTGACTCATTTAAGTTCATACACGTAAAAGAGATTATGAATTTGAATTCTTTTAAAACTTTATAAAATATTAACAGCCTGAACGTGTATCTTGCTTTTTTACTCACTTTTTATTCACTTTCAAATCAGAATTATAAGTATTTTTTTCACTTTTCCAATAAGATTATTCAAATTTTTAATTGGATTCTTGCATTTTTCCAAATTATCGACTGAATGTTTCACTTTCAAAAACAAAATGAAAAACTTTTGTATACAATTTTAAAAAAAACGAGATACGCAATCGGAATAATTCTTCTTACTCGAAAATTACATTATACAAATATATGATAGTTACTCACTTTTCGAGTAAAGTAGCGAGATAGACGATCAGGCCATAATTTTGTACAAAATGATGCGTAATTAATGAAAAATGTTAAATTATTCCATCACTCTTCTACATAAATATTCAAGCTCCTTTTTACATAGATAAATAAAAAGTTAAAATGACAAAAATGGAAACATGAATACGGTGGAGTCAAAAGTACTCAAAAATTTAAATCAAAAATTTTGCGTAATGACACTCAGTTTTCAAGTAAGTACATGTTACCCAATAACATATTTAAGTTAAAATTTATATAAATTTAAAAAGAACATGTATGTATTTTTGTTCTTAAATTAAATTTTTCCTATATATCGGTTTCTACGTAATGGTAGCAAATACCTAGGTGTTGGCGACAAGCAGAATTAAATCTAGCGGAATCCCTTATCCTTATCAAACCTCGAACAAAACCCTTTTCAAACATTTTTATGCCCAAAATATTTGGACTTCAGTGTTTTAAACACTTGTTTACAATTTTAGAGACAGTAATAAACTTTTAGTTCACGTACTTAGAAGAATGTAAATTTGGCTCTTAGTAGAAAAGTTCGTCAGTAACTTCTGGTAACAATTAGAACTCAAATGTTTAATTTCAAAAAATTCAATAAATTTGTTCCGAAGATATAGTGAAAAATATAAAATCAGCCCATAGATCAATTTCCGACCCCTGATCTTTCCTAAAAACTTTTTGATTCATTTTTTTAACACCTCGAATTTAAACATTAAATTTCAATGAAATCGATTGATTATTTCTCTTTATATACGCAAAAATGTATATTTGGCCCGTAGTAAACCTACAGTTGCTGACACCGGATTTCTTCCAAAAGTCAGGAGGTTCCGCGTACGTTCGAATGAAGTTTATATATGAAATTTCAAGTAAATCTGTTGAATAGTTTCTTCAAAATGATCAAAAATGTAAAACATGCCCGTTAAAAGGTCTAGTTTCCGATGCCGGATATATCCCAAAAGTTTATGAATCCGTGACATAGTCTAAATAAACTTACATATAAAATTTCATCAAAATCGGTTCAGCCAAACTTGAGATACACGCCTGCACACAGAGATCGACAAACCGACAGACCGACATCTTTCAGTAGATTTAAAAATCTAGTATAATTTATTAGAACTGCCGCTATGTAATGGAAAACCTTTACATACTGTAGTGTCATAAAAATGTTATGAAGTAAGACATGTATTATAAAACATACAAGGAATATGAACTAGCTCAAATTTATTTAAGAAATCGTGATGAAAGCAATGTACACAAATAATAAGACAAAAACAAAATAATAATTTGAAATATATCTTACACGAACGGCTCCATCCTGTTTTATTGTTGCAAAAAAAAAATGTCAAAATTAAATAAATTAGAAAAAAATTGTAAATATATATGTACGTATTGCAATATTTTTCAAACTTAATAAAGTAGAAATAGTTGCAATCTTCGTTACAGAGAAATAAGAACCCAAAAACCAAATTTCCACTTACACAAAAAAAATAATACATGAGTCTTTGGGTTAGTAGTAAAACGTATTAACAATTCTGTTGAATTATTGAAACTATTTGCATAATTTTTTAGTGGTTTCAATTTCTCTTGCTTAAAAATAATGAATCAAAATAGAGGGAATACCAAATGCAAAATCTCGGGTCGTCTTTGTCGTTAATCAAAATAAGGAGTTCTCATTTCTGTGAATTTTTTGAAATATGGACACTTTTATTTTATAAAAATGTTTTTTGATATTGCTTTTGAATTAACAAGGAAATTTTGCGTAGAAATAGATATAATTACAAATTATTTATAAAAATAAATATTTTGTGCGGCATCTGTGGCAATAAGAAATTCCAAGTAAATACTGCCAACTCTTTCTGGAACAATGACATGAGTTTAAATTGCAATTTTTTTTTGCTGAATTCTATCAAGCAGATCCTCCTCTGGCTGTATTTTACCATTTTGGTATTATAATATTGTGTTTTAGTTTTGTTAGTTTGGACATTTTGATACGGAATATGTTGCAAACACAGTCGCAGCTGTATTTGCCAAGTACAAACGAGTTTTTGTTCTTTTGACAAAATATTTTGTTCAAATTACTGACACTGTTCCACTTTGTACGCAAAACAGTCAGGAATCGTTTCAAGTTTTTGTGACGTTGGTCAAAAATATTTGTGTCGCATTGTACAGATAATAGTGCAACATTTATATTTATTTTTTGAAAGGAATTCGGAAAACATATTGTAGCAACTTTTCATAAAAACTTGACAAAATTTTAATTTTTTTTTTTTCAAAATTAAAAAATTCTTTAATTGCTTGTATGTATTTAAATATGTGCATATATCAAGGTGTTTTGCATAAGGTGGCAAATAATTTCAGGGATGATTCTTTGAATTAACAGATTGAAATTGAGATACTTTGATCAAGGGATTTTTTCAACCTCTTCAAAATATTAAATTAATCGTGAATTCAAAATAATACCAAGGTAAGCGGATCTCAACATACGGGTTAAATAGTAACGTGTGATATGCAGTTGTGTTAGAAATTACCTCCGATCAAACTAAGTGATATAAAAATATCGGCAAATATTGTTAATAGTATGTAATCTTTTCCACTTCTTTGTATGTCATAATGCGAACGAAACATTTTGTAATCGCGAACGAAACATTGGTTGTACAAAAATTATTACATGTCAAAAGACTAATAAAAATAGTTTACTTTCCGTGAGTTATGAGTACTGGAGTGTAATTAATAATCAGAAAGTTCTTTTTCTTTGCTTTTTACTAAGAATTTAAAAAAAATTTGTTGAGTAGAAAAGCAATATTGTTATATGTATGTGTAGGTAATGTTCATTTATTATAAATATGTATATTGGTATTATATGTACATAAATATACATAATGTAAGTTAACGGTAGATCAAATTAATAACTCGATGTATATTATGCTTCTGCGTGCCATGTTTCATTGTACAAAAAATAAGGGTGAATCAAATAATAAACAAGATTAAACATGCTTGTGTGGTATATTTTATCGTACAAAAAAGTGCTGACGACCTGTTTAAAATTCGTTGTTAGAATTTAAAATAAGAAAATCACATTACTTTCAACTTGTTAAGTAAGCAAATATATTATATAGCATTTTCAGATTAAATTAACCCTTTTGCGAGTCAAATTAATCTTTTTGCGAATAGAATTAACCCTTTTGCGAATAGAATTAACCCTTTTGCGAACTGAATTAAACCACTTGCGAGTTGAATTAATCTTTTTGCGAAATAAATTAAACTTTTTTTTGAAATTAAACCTTTTTCAAATAAAATTAAACCTGAAAAAAGATGTGAAAATCATGAAAATAAAAATCAATAAAATTTAAATGACTTATTAAAAAAATCATATTTTTCATATTTGTGCACGTAATATTATACGAATATGTATATATATATATATACATGGGAAATATGTATGTATGTTACTAAATAACATTAATTTAAATTTTACATTTTATTCTTGCGTAAAACAAAAAAAAATCTGATGTGGTCAGCACACAACCGACCGCATTGTACATTGTATAGTTAAGTGAAAGAGTTACAGAGTATTATAAAAATATCTTTTAAATACTTCCTTTCAATTTTTAGGACATTAAGTAAGCTTATAGTTAACATACCTAGAAAAATGTAAATTTGGCTCTTAGTAGAGTTTCGCTTTGTGCTACCCGAATTCCCTGAAATGCTCGCCAGTTAACCAGAACTCAAATATTAAACTTCAAGAAATTCCATAAATTTGTTCCGTAGATATGGTGAAAAATGTAAAACGGCCCGCAAATCAGTTTTCGAGTCCTGATCTTTCCAAAAAATTTATATGTTCATTGTTTTAATACGAGGAATTCAAATATTAAATTCAATGAAATCGGTCAATTATTTCCCTTTATATACGCAAAAATGTATATTTTAAATGTAAATGTCCAGTTGCTGATGCCTGATTTCTTCCAAAAGTTAGCAATTTTCGCGGACGGTCGAGCAAAGCTCATATATGAAATTTCAAGTAAATCGGTTAAATATATTCTTCAAAATGGTGAAAAATGTAAAATCAGCCCGCAAATCAGTTTTCGAGTCCTGATCTTTCCAAAAAATTTATATGTTCATTGTTTTAATACGAGGAATTTATATATTAAATTTCAATGAAATCGGTCAATTATTTCCCTTTATATACGCAAAAATGTATATTTGGCCCGTAGTAAACGTCCAGTTGCTGATACCTGATTTCTTCCAAAAGTAAGGGATTTTTGCGGACGGTCGAGAAAAGCTAATATATGAAATTTCAAGTAAATCGGTTGAATACTTTCTTCAAAATGCTCAAAAATGTAAAACAGTCCCGATAAAAAGTGCAGTTCCCGAGGCCTGATATATCCCAAAAGTTGATCAATCCGTGCCATGGTGGAAATAAACTTACATATACAATTTCATCAAAATCGGTTCAGCAGAACTTGAGATACACGCGTGCACACACAGACCGACCGACAGGTTGCTAAAAATAGTTTACTTACACTACCCTACTATGGAGAAGTGCATTCCCACCGAAAACTCGATATGCAAAATTTGTTACCATCACATAACCTACCAATTGTTTACACAATACGGTCGGTAATAATTAATACCCATAATTTTACATGTGATTAAAATTCATTAATGTAAATTTCTAATTTGAAAAGTTTTAGTCCCACATATCAATTTATCCCAATACCAACCTAAATATCGTGCACAAAAATATCAAAGACAACAAGTACATCAACCAAATCAACAATACCAGCACCAGTACACAGCAGGACGTCCAACCAGATCACATACCAGAAGACCTTCAAATGAAGATCTCGAAAATCCTCAACAACCACAGTAAGGTATTTGGATTAATTAATAATGGCGAGATCATAGATACATAAATGAAAGCTGAAATAAAGATACCCATATCCGGCTAATATGAGGAGGGAGGTAGAAGAACAATTAAAAAAACTCTTCACGAGTGGTGAATAAACTCGTTTATTCAGGTACCCCGATATATAGAATAGTGATCCATCTCAAGTGGCTTAACGCTGTAACCATACCCGACACTTACACGATTCCTGACATCTCCAACACGTTTTCAAGCTTAGGGAAAGTTAAATTTTTTACTTCTATCACCTCAGGATTTCATGAATGGCAGAAAGAGAAATACCAGAAACAGCGTTCTCAACTATGAATGGTAAATACGAACTTACTAGACTTTCTTTTGAGCTACGCAACGCACCTGCTTTTTTTTCAACGAATGATAGACGACATGCTAAAAGAACACAAGAAAATCAAAGCCATCCGACAAATTAAATCTCAAATAAATCTGAAGGAATTGAAACCTTTCCTGGGACTAACATCTTATTACAGGAGGTCCTTAAAAAAAATTTGGCAAAATTGTGAAACCTCTCACCAACTCAACAAGAGGTGTCCAAAAAGATAGAAATTGAGCTGAACGATTGACAAGTTAAGACATTTAACTATTTGAAGAAGCTATTGATGGCATGTGAAGTTCTTATCTTCCCAAATTCTGAGAGTACATTTACACTAACCACCGACGCTTCAAATCGGGCGATTGGCGCTTCTCTATCTCAAGATGAGATAGGAAAAGATAGGCATACTGCGTGTGATCATTCTACAAGACAAAGAGAGTCTGTGCTACCAATTAAGTACAGATGCTAGCTATCGAGTGGGCACTTGACAACTTTATGGGGCAAGAAAAATCAAAATATTGACTGATCACCAGTCTCTTACATTCGCATCTGGGATTCGCATCTGGGCAGCCGCAATCACCATGTAAATCTTAAATGATGGAAACCCCGAATTGAAGAATATAATCATGAGCAGTACTCCCACTCAGTAAAAACAAAATGTATCTATTAACTTGCTTTATTCAACAATGTGAGTTTTGTTATTTATAGAAAATTCTTAAAAACCACATACATTACACAACTTTTAATAGATTTTAAATGTAAAAGTTAAGGTCAGAAAGTACATATAAATTCTAAAAAATATGTACAACCAATGCATTTTCAATTACACCTAGCTTACACCAAAATATTCCTGTATGTATCCATATTTTAGCAAAATTTTCAAATGTAGCCAACTTCGGCATTTAAGCAGATTTAAGTATATTTGTATCCAAGCTAAATTTGAAGCAAAAATGTATCCAAATGAATACAATTGTATCTAAATGGGAATGCTAATCATGATGTAATCTACCGGCCTGCAAAGACTAATGTAGTGGCCGATGCGATATCCAAATTGCCATCGAAAATCAATTAGTTATCAAACAGT